GGTTTCCCCCCCCCGGGGAAATCCCCCCGGGGATGGGGGGGGGGGAAAAGGGGGGAAAAAAATGGGGGTTTTTTTTGGGGGGGGGGGAGGGGGGGGAACCCTGAATAGGTTTTTTTCCGGGGGGGGGGTTTTGTTTTTCCTCTGGGGGGGCCCCAAAAAAAAAAATTTTTTTTAAGGTTTTTTTGGGCGGGCCTTTTAAGGTTTGTTTTTTTTTGGCTTTTAAAAAAAATTTTGGGGGGAAAGGGGGCTTGTTTGGGGGGGGTTTTTTTTCCCCAGGGGTTTCCAAAAGGGGGGAAAAAACCCATTTTTTTTTTTTTTTTTTTTTTTGGGCCCTTGTTCGGGGGAACCCTTTTTTTTTTTCCTTTTGGGGCCCCCCCCCTTAATTTTTTTGGGGGTTTTCCCCTGGGTAAAATTCCCCTTTTTCCAACCCCCCCCGGATTTTTTCCTTGCCAACCAAAGGGCCCCCCCCCCCCCCCCCGTTTAGTTTTTTTTGCCCCCCCCCCCCTTTAAAATTTCTCCCCCCCCGGGCCTTTTTTTTTTGGGGTTTTTCCCCCCCCCCCCCCCCCCCCCCCAAAAAAGGGCAAAAAAATTTTTTGGGGGTTTGGGGGAAAAAAAAAAAAGGCCCCCAAAATTGGGGGGGTTTTTTTAAAAAAGGGGGGGGAAGGGGGCCCCCTTCAAAAAGGGGGGGGGGGTCAAAGGTAAAAAGTTTCGGGCAACCAAAAAAAGGGGTCCCCCCCCCCCCCCCCCCCCCCGCCCCCCCCCTAGCTGAACTTCTGCCCCAGCGTGTTCACCCTCGAGCCGGGGGAGTTCGTGCACATCAACAAGGGGCGTCTTCATGCCTTCCGGAAGGAGGACCCCCTGCCGCACGTGAGGGTCTAATGTATCAGCGCCGTTTTTTGGGCGTTATTGTAGCGTGTCGGAGATGTAGGACTGTAAGTACATGACAGCAGTCCCCATGCAAAACGAAGCGATTCTTGATCCTGTGGGTTTTGTAAGGGTGGGCGGGTTAGTGAGCGGCTTTGAGGTATTATACAGCACTAGATTTTCCCGACAGCCAACACCCGGATTCCATGACTGGGTGAACCCGCGATCCCCCAGTTTCGCCCGCATCCCTTGACGCCTTTCGCCGTATTTTTTGGCAGGAGGACGACCCCGGCTCCGTGTGTGTGTCGGTCGCTTGGGACTGGGTTGATCCCCCCCCCCCTCAATCTCCCT